AAGATCATTCTCTGAAGTACAAGGAAACTCTTACTCTTACAGATGATATCAAATATTAGTTATCAGATAGTTTTATACATCAGAAATTCTTCACTCAGCAGATCTCTTTCAGTCTTTGAATTATATAATTATTAATATATTGTGTAGAAGCTTCTGTATCTGCTAACACTTTTGCAGTCATCTCTCAATTCTTATTCAAGTACTCTTTATACATTAATATTCCAGGTCTCAAGGTATTGAGATGAGTGTTTACTTCATTCTCATTCACATCTCAGTCAGAAGCCTGCTTTCTCTTGATATTTACAGAATTCAGAGAGTTATCTAACACAGACATCTCTTTTACTTTGAAGACTTTTCATAGAATATCAGTGAGTGTCTCTGAGCTCACTAATTCTGCTAGTTTTTTAACTCTCTTACTTCTCTTGACTATGCATACTGTGTATAATTCTTTATATCATGATTCTGATATCTGCAGTTGAAGCAAGCTCAATACTCATAATATCAAGATTTTCACTCAGAGAATTTCTTTTTCAGAGAATTCAGTGCTTTAGCAATAGTATTTAGATCTAAATTCATTATATTCAGATATATAATTTATGTTATAGAAGTCTGATTATCTGTTCTCTGCTGAAATATATTTAATTACAGTATTTTCTATTACAATTGACTCACTTATTTCTATATAATAAGAATATTGTATGCTTCTTTCACTGTGTCTGATTATAAGATTAAGTATTTTCATTTCACTCTCAACTCAGATATAAGATCATGAATAAAGATCTATAAACAGAAAGATGTTGAAAGCTCTTTATTTAATATGAGATAGTATAAGCTGAAGTGTGTAAAGTATAATGTAAGATTACTCACTTATCTACACTTAGTGAAGTATTTATAACACTTGTCTTATATATTCACTTTCTCAAAGTTATATAAGATTTATTTGAAAAACTCATTTTATATTTATAAAAATGAATATTATTTTAAGTCTGTGAGATTTATCTTTTCATCAGTTATTTATAATGACTTCACTTTTCTGTATAGAAACACAGCAGATCTTAAGACTTGTTAAAATTCTGTTAACTGTCTGTCTATAAGTTTATATTTAATCTGATAATATAATTGTATCTGACTTAGTCAGCTGATTACAGTATTATTTTTTCAGTCATTATTGAAGCTTGATGACTTCAGCAGATCTTCTGACTTGATATATTTCATACTCAGATTCTCATTCTGCATAGCAGTCTCAGATAATATGTACACTTCTGATAAGATTGTGAATAATTATAATAAGATCTTCAGATTCAGTGCAGTCATCTATCTGTGTAATTATTTAATCTCTCACTGTAGATATATGACCTGGTTTTCCCTATTCTTATTAATAATAATGATTGTGTCTGTGAGACTCTTTATAGTGAATGCTTGATTTACAGTGAATGCTAATTATTATTTGACTTTCATCTCATTCTGTCACTGTGTATACAAGGCCTTGATTTCATTTAGAATTCTTATACATATACAGAGCTTTGATTTCAGTTCAGTAATCTCAGCTGTTTTTTTTACTGCTTTAAGTAAACTCTCTGAGAGGTTCTACATATCTTTTAGTTCAGATAGCAGAGAAGAGTGTTTATATTAACTAGAAAAGATGTTTATTTCAGTGATTTCTCATTGATCATATAATATCTATTATTATATTATTATATTGTTATATTGTTATATGATTATATTATTATATAATTTCTGATTTCTGTTTCCTGTTATTATTATACAACTTCAGTGATGATTATCTCTCTTTTATTCTTCTAAGTAGAGAGTGATCTTCTTTGAATCTGATTTATTACTCTCATTTCTTTTCTCACACCTCATTTATTCACATACATGACATTCATCTGAGTGTGAAGTTTTTCTTCAACAAGCAGAGTAGTATTAATTAAATACTCTTTCACTCACTGCTCTTTACACACTATCTTTTGAGATGTTTTAAAATCACACTGATATGATAACTATAAATTACTTCATAGATGAAATTATCATGCTCTGAAGAAGTCTGTGCTTCTCACTGATTTTTTTAGACATGCTATCAGATGTGATTCAAAGATTGCTTAAGTCAGTGTACAATTACAGATATACACCGGCTTCTTATATACTATACATTAAATTAATTGATGGCCGCTATGACTAGACTGACCGTGTGACCATGTCTGGGACCAGGACCAGATTTTTTGATAGTCTCATTACCAATTCAACTGATCTCATTACACAGTTTTAACATTAGATAGTAGTTTTATACTGTCTTAATAAGACTTACTATCTACTCTTATCACATTTTTCAAATGAGATCATGATTTTCACTTCTTAATTTAAATTATTTTTATTACTTTAAATGACTTTAAATCTCATTTAAGTGTTATCAAAAAGTGTTACTTTTTAAACAATTAAAAATAGTCTAAAAAAAACCTTAAAATGTCTAAAAATAGTAACTTTATGCCAAGAATGAGACTAAATGAGATTAAATGAAATCACTTTCTCATTTTTTTCAAGTCATGATTTCATTTTAAAATCTGATATATAGTCACTTTGCATGTTTTTTAATGACTAGTCTCAGTGGAATTCACACTAAGAAATGTATGAGATTAGACTAAATAAGATCAAACATAAAATTCATGATTCTGACAGTCAGTCTAACTATAACCTCTTTACATTTGTAAGCAAGTTTGAAAGTAGCTGTGTTATTATCTGACAGTCATATGTTCTTCTGAATCACATTATTTAATTAAATGTAAAAAGAAAATATTCTTATCTATAATACAGCTGAAACTAGAACATGACTATTTCAAATCTTATATACAAAGATTTAATGATAGATTTAATTTAATAGAATACTCATTCTATAATATAAATAAGAATTCTGAGTATATTATAATGCACTGTGTATTATATAATAGTCTCAGAGTCAGATTGAAAGAGAAGTATAATCTAAATCAATTAAATATAAGATTCTTATTCTCAACTAAGACAGGAATTAAATACTTAATAGACTTTTTATCAGAAACTTAAGCAGCTATAAGAAAATAACTAAATTCAGAAATATCTGAATATGAAGAGAAGAAAATTGATCAGATATAGTCTGTTAAAACAGCTATATACTATATTTTAATAATTTATTTTATTACAGTCTCTCTTTACTTTACTTTTTTCTTTCTATTCTTTTCTATCTATCTATTTAATATATCTATCTTTAAGACTGTGTTCTCTTTTCTTTTATTATGATATTATTAAGTGATTTCAAAGTATTAGAAGATGTTGAAATACTGTAATTTATAAATAGTTTTTATATTCTGAGCTGAAATTTTCTGATTTTATATATTTGAAATTGATGAATGTATAATAGTTAACTTTATAGATATAGAAAAAACTCTGAGAACTAAAAGTTCTTAGATAAATATCATAGTCTCTGACTGTATATATCTATAATTAAAGAATAATAATAATAATAATATAGCTAATAACTTAGTTATAAAATAATATAAATTAGCTTCTTCATTTTTTTATTAAAAATCATTAGATTTTCTATCTTTTTTATTAATATTTCACTTACTGTCTGAGCTAGAGCTACTATATCTGCTACTTCACTGCTTTTTTAGTTGTGAAGAATGAAAAATTTGATTGATTAATAGATTGAGTGAATGAATGAGTGAGTGATTGAAAGGTTGAAAGTCAATTATTAACTGATTATTACTGTATTGTGCGAGGTTGGGGTCATAATTATGTAATGAGGTCAAGTGGCGCACTTAGCAAGGTCAAGTTTTCTGTATACACGTTATCAGATGAACATCCTTGAAAACATGGTCTTGAGACTCAGATGTGCACTATCTACTGAAATTGTCCGCAAAATATATGAGCAGTCTTCATCAATCCAAGCTGCAAGGACACCTGCTGGCGGAGCCTGCGTTTCAATTTGTTTGCATTTGATTTGCAATCTGAGATGCCATCAGTGCAGGGAAGATTGTAGAACTGATTGATTGACTGGTGGCATCATCTTCTTGTGGGGAAAAAACCTTCAATACAGGTGAAAGATCAAGGGCAAATAGTAAAAGTTGTGCAACAAGTCACCTAACGCCCCTAGTTAACTAGAACTATTAACTACTCTACTCCGTACGGAGGGCGCTATCAAAAGAATTGCGCCGGCAAAAAGACAGCTAGACAGTGCCACAAATCTTGGCGGAAATTCACACTGTAATTTATACTGAATATTGATTATCCATTGTCTCCACTGCTATCTTTTTAATGTGTAAGTTAATCTGTCTGCCAATCTCACCTCACAGCCAGGTGAGTATTCTATTTCTTCATCTGCTCATGCTGCCTTTCTTCTCTATATTCATTATCATCTTCTAACTCTATAATCTTTATTGATCATGTTAAATTTTTGCAAGAATAGTATCTTTAATGCTACTACTTTCTTGAGTTGTTCAGCCAGATTTGAGAGCATCTCTAAGTCATTCATTGTGAAGTATAATATGTGACAGTTCAGGATTAAATCCGCGTTCAATTGCATATTTATATATATAGTTGATTTGGCTCTTTGAGATCTAGGTGATTTTCATGATTTCAGCATTTGACTTGCCAAAATAGGATGATTTAAGAGTCACTATAAGAGCTCTTGTAGCCAGACAATCTCATATAAATAGAATGCAGGGTGATTAGAAGCTAAATATAATTACTCATTAAAACATAGTGATATTTCTTAGCTGTATCAATTGAATCTGAGCGGCGCAATTCTTTTGATAGCGCCCTCCGTACTCGTAGTAACCCATGTCCACTGCCCAGCCACACCGCGAACTATTGGTTTTTACGCACCGCCACACCGCCCGCTCGAGCTGTCGCTTTGCCCTATCTGGCTAGTTGCGCGGGTTTGAACCTCTCGAGCCAGCTCCAGACCAAGAACCACCACCCAGCATCAGGGTGAACCACCCGCACGTTGCTTATGGTCGAACCTACAAGCCATGGACCGCACTGACTCTGCTTCCACCCCTGACACGGAAGCGTCGAGGGCTACTGGTTACTTCCCCCCTCATCAACCGTACCTCGCTCCAGAGCGCGAACCCACAGAAACCCCGCGCCCTGCTAACGCTGGGTTTTCGCCCGTCTCGGTCCCTGCCTCCCAGTCGGCGTACTCGTCATGGTCTCCTATTTTGACTCGCCCTCGCGGTAGCAGTGGCAGCGGTGCTTCCATGAACGCGCTTGAACAACCCCTTCCTCCAGATATGGCCGCTATGAATGATCGTGACTTGAGGCCTCAACGTCCGCCCGGGCCAGCGAGGACGCCATCCAACACATATGCTCCTGCCAGGAAGCCCCCTCAATTCACCCCACTTCACTCCAGCACTCAGGTACCCCTTGCTACCAAACGCCCTACACGACGAGACCCAGATGCGAGATACCGTGCCCAGGAGAAGGCCTACGTGCAGCGAGTGCGCCAGGGACCTAATGAATGGTTCAATTTTGACACGCAGCTCCCTGGCCTGAGTTTTGCCGCCGATTCCGAACCAGAGGAAGAATCCCCTTCATCAGAGTCACAGTTTGACAACGATCCTTTCGACCCTGACACCCACCTCGTCTTAGAAGATGACGATGCCCAACCCACGCTTGAGGAGCTGCAGGATCCCAAAAATAAAGAAAGACTTGAGTGGTATTCTATGCTGGCGTCGGTCCTTAAAGGTGATGTTATTAGGCAGGAGAAGCAGCGGCTAATTGGGACAATGGAACAGAAAAGCCGTGAGGTATGGAATTTGGAAATTTTTGTCGGAGCCAAAGCAGCGAGGTTTGGGCGCCCGCTTCCTTTACAAAAGAAATTTGTCGAGTATCAGATAAGCAACCTCGGCCCTCTCATTGAGGACATCATATCCTTTGAGATCAAGGGGGAAACACAAGTTGGGAAACCTCCTCTGAAACAAGTTGAAGATGTCGTGGAGAAGATCGAAAAGTGCGAGAGCCTCTACCCCAGTAGGCGAATCCTACAAGCAGAGCATCCTCGCGCGGCATCGGAAGAATTCCAAGAAAGTTGCGATGCTATCATCGCGTGGCATAATACAACCATGTCCATTAACACGGAGCTTGCCATCCTGCAAAGATGGGTGGGTAACGAAGAATTGGATTTCGCGAAGCCCATGACGATGTCGTCCCTTGCAGCAGATTTGTCAGACGAAGGATCTTTTCTCGACCGTATAATGAAGGAAGACGGACTTAAAACTCTTCAAATCACCGATAACATCTATGATAACGATAAGAAGAAGGAGCCTTCTATCTTGGATGGTATTGGTGGTGTTATTAAAAAGGCGAAAAGCACATTAATTGAGAACGCGGAAGCATTTGCCAAACGCCATCTTCCACCTTACATCGAGGAACTATTAACCCTCATAAACTTCCCTTCACGCCTTATTCAGGAAGTCATCCGACTGCGGCTTTCCTATGCTAGGAAAATGAAGGATCCCGCCTTGCAATCCCCCATCTTGGTCGACCAAATGATCTCACAGTTCCAAATATTGCTGAAGGTTGCTGTGGATATCAAACAACGCTATCTCATCATCTCGGATCCCGAGCCTGGTTGGGATCTCCCACCGTGCGTTGACGAAAACTTTGACAACGTAGTCGTTGACGGACTGAAGTACTATTTCAAACTACTAAACTGGAAGCTAAGTGCCAATAAGAACACTTTCAAGGAAGCGGAGATTTTGGAAGGGGAGTGGGAGTTCTCGAATGAAATTGGCCGACAACTTGAGAATGGAGATATTGAGGTGGCTGAACAGTTTAGGTATGCGTTGCTTTTTTTGTGTTTGTGTACATGAAAGCGGATGTGGGGATCTTATTGCTCATGCACCCGTAGTACTTTAACCGCTAAATCCCTCCAACGATTAATGATCCACTTTGAGCGGGAGTTACATAGTAGACCGGAAGAAGATGCCGTCGAGACGGAGAAACGCTACAAGCAGATTTTTGATTCAGTCCGGGTCCGCCAGCGAAAGCTTTTTCGGTTTTCTCGTCTTTTGCGACAGCGATTCGAAAATGCAACCGAATTCAATTTGCGGGAGGATATGGTAGACACGTTGTCGGAGGCTCTCCTGGCCTCGGGTCATTTTCTGGTTACTTCTCACGATTCCGTGGGCCAGAAGGGGGTTCATTTGATTGCATCGCCTTCCTTATACGGGCGACCCAAGGATATCCAGTCTATCCTAGGCACGTCCTTCCGTTCTGAAGATTCTCCTGAAGATCCTTCCAACCCCTATGTTCTTGTCGTCCGCCCTGAAAAGGGCCTGGTTTGGAATGGTAAAAGGATGGAAGTGGACCTCTTAGAACATCCCACTGATGTTAGATTTGGGAAACTACGCCTTGTTGCAGACGGATCTCAACAACGGCTCCAGAATGCCCGCCTAGCTTTGACTAGACTTACTGGGCTACAGCTGGATATTACCATTGAACAGCGCGCCAACTTGGGTCGAGTGAATGTTGAGCTGAACAAGATCAAGAAGACTGCTTACAAACTTTCAACAGGCATCATTGATAGTGTCGAAATCATCAGAAGACAGAGCAAAAACGCAGAAAACCATGAACTCATCCAATCCTGTTTCGCATTCGCTACGGAATTTGGCAAGCGATCCTTAATGTATATGGATGCCAGCCGACGTTCGTTGAACCATTCCAAGCTTATCAATTTGGCGCTTGATTGGGTTTCCTTCATTTGCGATGATTGTGACGCTGCCGATCGCAAAACTTTTAAATGGGCTGTTGCGGCTCTTGAATTTGCTATGATAGTAACGCATGGCCAAAACGTACTTGCCATCAGCGATGAAGATTATTGCCTTCTCCGACTTAAAGTGGCCGGATGTATGTCACTTTTAATTTCCCATTTCGATATCATGGGCGCAAGATCATCGTTGGCAGCCCAAGCTGAGCAACAACACGCGGATCCTTCCGGGCAAGGATTCAGAAAACTTGATCTGAGCCGGATTACGGATGATGATCAAGCTTCACGGGAGGTTCAAGAAAGGCGGGAGGAGCTCTTTGCGGAAATTGATTTGGCTAGAATCGAGGCTGATGCCAAGCGTCAAGCTCTGGGTAAAGTTCTCGAAGGTGTCAATGAAGCGGATCGATCTGTCACTGTTCTGTCCTCATCGGCAACAAACGTCACATTACGATGGCAGCAAGGCCAGTTTATCGGTGGAGGGACATCTGGCTCGGTCTATGCTGCTATTGATTTGGATACTAGTTACCTGATGGCTGTGAAGGAAATCCGCCTCCAGGAACCTTCCGTAATTCCAGGAGCTGCTCAACAAATCCGCGACGAGATGGGTGTTCTCGAAGTGCTCGATCACCCTAATATTATTTCGTACTACGGTATTGAGGTGCACCGGGATAAGGTATATATTTTCATGGAATACTGCTCTGGCGGGTCTCTCGCAACCCTCTTGGAGCATGGTCGAATCGAAGACGAGATGGTCATTATGGTATACACTCTCCAGATGTTGGAGGGCTTGGCGTATCTCCACCAGGCTGGCATTGTCCATCGCGATATCAAACCCGCAAACATATTGCTTGACCATAATGGAGTCATCAAATATGTCGATTTCGGTGCGGCAATGGTCATCGCCCGCCAAGGCAAAACTCTAGCTGCCATGGATCATTACTCGTCAGGCGCAAGAGATGGAAGGGGCCAGGCGAAGGACGCACTTGGGCAGAGGAAGAACCAAAAGTCGGTGACAGGCACTCCAATGTACATGTCGCCAGAACTAGTCAGGGGAGAAGTTGGCCATACATCCGGCCGCCATGGGTGCATGGATATCTGGTCGCTTGGATGTGTCATTCTCGAAATGGCCACGGGCCACCGACCCTGGGCAGGCGTTGACAACGAATGGGCAATCATGTACAAGATTGCGCAGGGCAGCCAACCACAGCTACCCACCCCAGACCAGCTCAGTCCAATGGGCATCGATTTCATCAAACGATGCTTTGAGATAGACCCCGTCAAACGACCAAGTGCGACAGAGCTTCTCCAGCATGAGTGGATTGTTAGTATTCGGCAACAGGTTGTTGCTGAGCCTCAGACCCCTAGCAGCGAGTGAGGGAGCATGAGTGGTGGTAGTGGACCGTCGAGTGGTGGGAATAGTCGGTAGAACCCAAGAAATATGCTTTGAGCATATATCCATCTATCTATTTACTAATTGGAGTACAACGCGCATCCCCCTGACTTTCCGAAGTCTACGCGAACCCTTTCGAACTAGTGAGAGTAAACGAAATCACCACTTTCAACTATATATACATTTTCCTTGAGCATATATTATGCTCCAAAGGGAAATCAAAGCACATAGCCAGCGTTTGCGGGTTGGGCAAGAAGATTGGTTTGGGATGAATGGCTGAAATGTCATGAGCTCATTCCTTTGTGTTCGGCTTTTATTTGTCCAAATGGTGAGATACCCGATTGTGGAAATATCTATATTACTCTCATGATTTTCTTCTTCATGGTTCCCGCTCTCATTCTGTCGTTGTCCTTGATCGTCCTTTATTGCTATTTATTGCTTGGGTGTGATTTCTTCTGCGCGGGGAATGGATCTTTGGGTGTTGATTAGCGAACTGAGCAGATTTGCATTTATTTAACTTCCACTTGAATTCTGGATGCGGCACCACCTGACTCCTACAGGCGTGGCGGTTTCGTTTTCCATTCAGGGCGTTGTCACAGGGCCGTGGGGGAATTAAAAAACACCTCAAGACGCCAATGGTGGTGCCGGAATACGTGGTACTCGTCCTCCCCAATTTTATCCCTATTTCATAGCTGTATCTCATAAATGCTAACTATCTTGTGAGGTCTTGAGGAAATATTTAGGCAGTGCCGCAGTGGCAGGGGTGTGTTTGAGAGCTTGAGCACTGATGTAAGTGCCTGGTTGCTCAGGGCGCACTTAAGCAATCCTGGCTTCGAGATGCAGCACTCTGATGTTTGAACATGCAGGAGATTATTGATTAAAAAGAGATTCAGAAGATTAAATTTATCAGTTTGATTCAGTTGTGAGCTCTCTTATAAATACAGCAGCAGATAAGAAATAAACTATTTATAATCAAACTAGACGACCGGGATAACTGTGCACTTTATTACCCCAGCGAATCAGGCCATGAAACAATTAGTTTCCATGCTCTTGGAACAGAGGGCAGATCCGAATGTAGCTTGTGGGTTTTACGGGAGCCTCCGCCAAAAGGCCACGAGGAAATTGCGAAGATCCTTCTCGATCATGGAGCACAGAACGATGTACAGTACATGTACATGTACATACAAAATACAAAGGCGTATTACTCCAGCGCCTTCGATCTGTCCATACAGCAAAGAAATCGGAAAATCACGCGTCTTTGATTGATAATGGAGTTGACACATGTGGGGTACATGGCACTGCAATGCAGGGATTACCGTCTTGCAAATATGTTGCTTGATGAAGGAGCCGATGTCAATTGCCAATACTGCCCACATATGGGACGGCTTGGCGATTGCTTCGGGTAATTTGAATATGGATATGGTGACGCTGCTGCTTGATAGAGGAGCGGATATTAATGCTCTAGGCGGTGAGATGGGAAGTCCTCTCCAAGCTGCGAGTAGTGCATACTACGTGATTGGAATGAAGGTCATGCGTGTGGAGCAGACATTAATGCTGGAGATGAAAGAAGCGGAACTGCTCTAATAGCAGGAGCAGCGGGAGGCGATAAAGCATGTGTTAACTTGTTAATTGACGAGGGAGCGAATGTCGACGCGCAGGGAGGAGTACTACTACTACTACCACCACCACTACCACCAACTACCAACGCCAGGGCAGACGATATTCACATCTGCTTTTCTATCGATCAAAAGTTCAACGATATCCTCCAGCCCACGAGAAGAAGCACAATGGAGAGCAGTCCCGAAATCCCCACCCCGCGCATTGATATCTCTGCTCCCAGGTTAAGCAGCAGGTCCACGATAGCCCTCCTTTGCCCGAATTTCATGAAGATCTTAGATTGGACTGCAGCTTGAAGGGCGCTTCCCTATTTTACCCCTAGCTACGGCGCTCCGCAACGGTCTCTTTTTGAAACTACATTTCCAGACCTATTTTGATTTCTTATATTCATCTCTAGTGGAAGGATATTTACCTATTAACTACACATATTAAAACGGTTATACATAGATTTAGGCCTTGGCTAGTTCTCAATTGTGATTGTGTTCTAATACCACTTGAGAGATAATCATCACGATCCAAATAATGGAGTTTACGGAAGGTAGCAAAACAATGATCTGTAAAATATTGTATAAGGAAGCATTTCAATTCGTGTATTTTTACGTGATAGCTATTCATTATTTGTGTTCGCATTTTAACAACATTGCGAACCTCGTCTCAAGTAATGCGTAGAGCATTACGAACTTTTTTGCATAAGAACCTGCACGAAGGTGTTAGAGAAATGACATTGTTGGGGTGTTTTAGTTGTCTTCCCTTTGGTATTGGGAGATAGGAGAGGGGGACGAAGTAGACACTTACAACATCGGACGACATGACCCAGCCATCTTCATCCTCTTCAGCTGGTCCTCTGGACTTTTTGGCTTCTTCGTAAGCATTGGTGCTCTCAGCTTCGCCAGCCCGTTTTGTGTTAACCTCGTCTACATCTTCCACTTTCACGCCATTTTTCACTCCGCCCACATCTATTTTCACTCCGTAAGTGTCCCTCTTGACTTTTTCTTCGTCTTTTTCTCCTTCGTCATCATCTTCCTCGCCATCACCTGCCTCGGATGGGTCTCCAAATTGCTTCTGGATCAGGGCTTGAAGATTATCGATGGAGACTATGCTGTCCACAACCTCGAAAGCAACTAATAGTTTCCAGATGCCGTAACCAATTGGCTCAAAATGACGCCCGGTATATGTGACACCATTTTGTTTCACAAGGAGTGCTTTGACTTCAGCGGCCAACGCTCTCAAAGGGGTTTGGTCACCTAGTGGCGGTTAGTTCACGGCATCTCCAAAAAAGAACAGAATAACTTACTGCATGGTTTGATTCCGAGAACGACAGTAGTTTTAGCCTCCTTCTGTCCCTTAGCAGCCTTCTTTTTTCTATATTCTTCGAGATTCTTCTCTCTTTGAGCAACGAGTTCTGGATCTTCTTCCTCATCGTCGCTGCCGAAAAGGTCCATGTCATCGTCATCATCATCGCCCGCGGGTTTCTTAGCGATCACCGGGATATCGGCAGACTCGGGGCCGAACGAGGTGAACGACTGGGAAGGATCACCCTTGAGGGTAGCGAAATCAGATTCGTACGAAGCAATGTGCTTGTACCAACGGGCGGCATGGGGGTATTTGGCCGCGTCAGGAGCATTTTTGAATGCCTTGAATGTGACGACATCAGCTTGGGTGGGGGCATGGCTGATTTGGGTTAGTTATGTTGTGTTGTCTAAGAATACTGCAACGTGTATGGCGGGGTAATTTTTGTATTTTTATTTTATATATATCTTCAAAAATAAAAATAAAATAAAAATAAACAAGAAAAATCAACATCAGAAAGGCGAAAAATCGCGTAGGAAGTAGTCATTCAGCGGTGTCTTAAGCCGCCTCATAAACACGGACCAATTTATTTTCATCATTGAGAGAGGGAAGGAGAATCAAGTGCAAGCAGAATAAGAATCAAGAGGGGATCAAACTATGGGACTCACCCTTCCACGTAGCTTCGGGTGCTGAAGAAGTGATTGGCAACTTTCGAATTCAGGGCTCAGTCAGAACTCGTCGAGAAGTTTGCAGGGGAGACAACAAAAGCACTTACTGGCGAGGCCAGAGTCTGAAGAGAAGTCGGTGAAACCCATTGTCAGCGGCTGGGAGGTAATAGCTGTGATATTGGGAAGCTAAGAGACAACAGGAGGGTGGTGGGGAGAAGAGGAGATTGAGAGAAATTGTGTTGCGGAAGAAAAAGAAAATCAAGGGGAAGAAAAAGGAAGAAAATGCCAAGCATTTTGTGGCTAGGCGAAAATTCTGCAAAGGGAAGAGGGGCGGACGGGTGGATGACTCAGCATACAAGGCACGTGGCTAGCTTCCAATGATCTCATCGATAAACCTTCATCTTCGAGAGCTTTCGAGAAATCCTTCGATATATCCATTGCTGGCGCTGACTGACCCCGTGCTCCTCCTTTTTAGTAGTTAGATATGTTGTCAACAATCATATTTCGTGCGCGGTAGCTGGCAATTTTCTTTTCTTTTCTTTTTTTTTCTTTTTTTTTTCCACCCTGCTTCTTTTCCTAGCCAACAATGCAGCTGTCCAAGCTTCAGGGCTACAGCCCTCGACTACTACGGGCTTCAGTCACAGCTTCGCGACCTGGAATACCGATACGAGCATCAATTTCCCGGACTGGATTATTCAACCATTGGCCATCTCCACTCCACACTTCCTCATACGAGCTTTTTTATCAATTACCTGCTGTGCGCCATTATGCCAACGGAAGGGCGCATCCCCCGGGCGGAACACACCGTATGAATTTAGGCAGCGAGCCGGAAAAGCCGGCTTTGGAGGCATATGGAGTCGATCTTACTGCTAGAGCAAAGGATGGGAAGCTTGACCCGGTCATTGGCAGGGATGGAGAAATCCAGCGTACCATACAAATCCTCTCAAGGAGAACGAAGAATAACCCTGTCTTAATTGGTTCCGCCGGCACTGGAAAAACTGCTATCCTCGAAGGCCTAGCCCAGAGAATTGTCAGAGGCGACGTCCCGGAGAGCGTAAAGAATAAGCGTGTGATCGCTCTAGATCTGGGTCAACTTATTGCAGGGGCAAAATTTCGAGGTGATTTCGAAGAGCGATTGAAAAAAGTTCTGAAGGAGGTGGAGGATGCTGAAGGCGGGGTTATCCTCTTCGTGGATGAGCTCCATACGCTACTCGGGCTTGGAAAGGCTGAGGGAAGCATTGACGCAAGCAACCTTCTAAAGCCGGCTTTGTCGCGAGGTGAACTGCAATGCTGTGGTGCTACAACATTGAATGAGTACCGCCAGATCGAGAAAGATGCTGCTCTAGCGCGACGGTTCCAGCCGATTCTTGTTGAAGAACCCTCGGTTCCGGACACCATATCGATATTGAG